CTGTAAAGACCCAAATAAAATAAAATAAGATAAAATAAAATAAAGTAAAAATGTAGTGGAAAATTATTTGAAAGGGTCATGCTCACTTTCGGTGGGAAAGTGTTTAAAAAAAAAAAAGAGGAGAGAAGTGAGTGCTGGTGCGGGGCTATAAAAAAATAATACTTATCTCTCTTAGGGGGTGGAGCATTTTGGAATCAAAATAAAAAAAAAATAAAATAAAGAGATGCAGACTGCAGTGTTGAATGGGTGATATGTCATATTATAATATAGTAGAATGAGAGAATAATAATAATAGGCCGTGTTAGAGTTGTGTTCAAGTGGTGAATATTATTTTAAGAGAGCACATGAGTGGGAATTAGGGGTTCAGAGTCTTAAAAAACCACAACAGGCTAGAGCAGATAAGTCAAGCTGTTATTCCTTTCTGTTCAGTAAAAGGACCCATCAGTTTAATGTGTATGAGCTGTGATTTTTTTTATTTTTTATTTTATTTTTGGGTGATTGCTTTTCTTTTGAAATTTTTTTTGAACAACTTTTCTTTTGAAATTGATATGGCTGTTTTTTGTAGTCAAACTTTAAACATTCAAATGAACATTGTCATGAAATTTTCAAAACTCAAGAGAAAAAAAAATTTGTAATTTGTATTTGTAATAGAAGCTCACAGATTGCATTTGTAATTTACTTATGCCTCATTTAAGAATATGTTATTTTATGTATTTTTTATTTTTTTATGAAAAAATGTAAAGAAAAGTAGAGAAGTGATGTGATGAAAAAAACATAAAAAGATAGATTATACCTGTGTTTGGCAAGTAGGTTTGCAGGTTTTTTTGGCTATTTTAGCCACAAAAAACAAAATAGGCTATTTTAGCCATAACAAACAAAACATCACATCCAACCCATAATCATTGCATTCTTCTCTCACAAAAAAACTCAAAAAAGTCAAAAAGTCAAAAAGTCCTTCCCAAACCAAGCTTTTAAGCCCAGACTAAAATAGCCAAAAAAGTCAAAAAGCCAACCCACTTCCCAAACGGAGGCTATGTCAAAAGTATAAAACTAATTATATTTTTTCCAAACCATAAGTGAAGAGACTGTAATTTACTCATTCTTAAAATAATTTTTAAACAATAAATTACATAAACCTCCCCTGATAGATCAAAGAGATGAGTGAAACTTTTCTTGGTGACCCAATATTGGGAGACAAATGGAGTTTCACAATATTAGTTCATAAGAGATTCACCGCTCAAAAGAGGTTGGCCTTGTAATGAAGAGTTTTTTTTAAACACGCAAAAAAAAATAATAATGATGAACTCCCTACGTTTTTTCTGTTCGACGTTTTTTTCGTACTGAACTTCCAAACGTATAGGGAAAAAAAAATGGCACTGTAGGGCCTAACTAGATACAGTGCCTGTTTGGTGCAGCTTAAAAGCTGCTTATTTCAGCTTTCAGCTTTCAGTTTAATTTAAGCTATTTTGATGTGTTTGGTTTAGCTTATAACTTATAGCTTGTAGCTTTTTAGAAGTCAGAAATCAGCTTATTCTTTGAGTGGGACAGGAGATGCTTAATTTATAAGTCAGAAATCAGCTTATGTTCATAGTTATAAGCTATAAGCTGTTTAGGCATAAGCTATAAGCACTTTCCTATAGCTCTACCAAACAGGGCCACAGTAATTTAGCAAGGTCTAACTAGATTAATTTCATTTGTTCAAAAGATCAGTGTGGAACAGAGTTTGGAGCAAATCTAAGTTTGGTCCCATAAGATCCAATTGTGAGATCGACAGCGAGAGATCATCGATAAGAAAGAACTCGTTGGGAGCTCGTCTTTGCTTTCGGGAGGAGATGAATCTCTTACACTCGTTGGTGCGAAAGAGTACACATAAGCTAGAAGTTTGCAAGGTGAATAGGATATTTTTGGGAGGGGGTGTGCGTTTTGGTGGGTGTAGTATTTTGTGTGAAAGATAGTTTTGGTACTATGTAGGGTGTGTTTGGAATTTTTCTTCAATTTTAAATTTTACAGATGAGAATTCAAAGTAATGAGGAATCCAAAGTTGTTTTGTGGGCCATTTTGCCCCTAATTAAAGGGGGTATTGATTTGCGTTTAGGATTATAACAGGATGAACCCACTATGTGTGTAACATATTGTTATTTAAATTTGAAAGTAAACTTGTAAATTTGATTTTAAAAATTTGAAACTATTATGGCAGTTAAACAACCGTGAAGAACATGTGTATAGGTGTGGGGAAAAAGTTTTTTTATTATTATTATTGAATTTACGCGTGGTAGAAGATTCAGGAGACCAAATTTAGACCTCACTTAATATAGATTAGTGGGTGGCACACACGATGTGTGTGTAATTTAAATAAGTAGGAATAAAAAAAAATAATAATGAAATTAATATTATAATGTGTACTTAGCTTAAGTGGTATGAGTCCTCGTACTTAAATCCATGGTCATGGGTTCAAGCCTTGTCCATCTCTTTGTTCAGCTTTTTTTTTTAAAATAAAAAATACAGATAGATAATGTATACTTAGCTTAAGTGGTATGAGTCCTCGTACTTAAACTCATGACCAGTCCTCGTACTTAAACCCATGGTCATGAGTTCAAGCCTTCCCCATCTCTTTGTTTAATTTTTTTTAAAAAAATAAAAAATACTGCCACATGGCATGAGGAGAGTAAAGCTTCAGGACACCATAAGAGGTGTTCACTTTATAATAATATAGATAGATATATATTTTAACTGAATTTTTATTTTAACTTCTAAGAATTGAGAATTTTTTTTTTTTATTTTATAGTTTTGAAACCTACAGAGTTTCTGAAACTAAAACACTCTTGTTTTGTATTGTTATTTTTGGATGAAATTTCATAGTTCATCTCAATTTTTTAATTTTGGAATGAAATTTCTCATGTTTTGGGATAAAATGTCTCAATTTTGGGTTGAAATTTCTCTTTTTTGAATTAGAAATTTTTAAGTTTTTGAAATGTCTCCATGATAGGATAAAAATAAACACCACAAATAATTCAAACTTCACTTCATAAAAATTGAACTTGCAACTTCCACCACAAAATAATGTTACACAACAATTGGGGCGAAGGCCCTAGTTAGCCCTTGTAAAATGAGCAAACTTCTAGTTTGAGATCTAGCTACTTTAAAAATAAGAACATTAATGTAGTGTTTGGCTCATTAGAATAACATTGGTTGAAATAAAACTTCCCTATGAAATAATGATTTATTTATCAATAGTAAATAATAATTTCATTTATAATATATTTTTATTATTTTTTTGAATATACATTCAATTCCAATACATTCACCAAAGCAAACAGAACATAAGAAATTGAGAAAATAAGAACAAATGTCCTAAAGGAGATGATTATGTAATAAAAATTATGTGTAAAACCTACCATATTTAAAGAGAATAGTGAAACTTACCGTGCCCCATGAGAAATCACATAGGAAGTGAAGCATTCCAATGAAATATAAGTCTTTTTTTCTTTTTCTTTTTCTTTTTTCTTTCTTTCTTCTTTTTTTATTTTACAATTACTGGGTAAGGGAACAACAGCTGCAAAAACGCATTTCAATTTTAATCAGACACAAGTTTTAGCATTCAATATGAACCACATATGTAAAAGAAAGGTAATTAAAGAAAAACCCAATTCTCTCCAATCCCTGTGACAGCTCTCTACGCTACCTTGTAGAAACGATTAAAAATTTTAAAAAGAAGAAATGTAATTCCTAGCATTCTATCAAAGAAAAGAGAGTGGGGAAAAAATGAGAAACCAAGGAGATACAGTTTGAACTGAGGACTAGGAAGCAGTAGATTGCTTCTTTGAAGCCTTTTGTTTCTTATTTGCATCTGCAGGTGCAGCTTTTCTCTTGTCCTTCCTCTCTCTCTTCTTCAAAGCAGTCATCCGGGCCTTGAGAATAGTTGCGTAAGAAGCTTGAAAGCGTTGGTGATCCTTCGACCCCACCTTTTATTGCAAAACAAAACCATGAATACAAGCCTTCCATAATGAAATAACATGGCAACACCATCAACAAATCTTTATCAAGCACAGAAAAAAGAAAAGCTATGAACACTATATTCCATTGCACTGGAAAAAAGAGCGCACACAAACAAGAAAAAACAAAAATCCAAAAACAAAAGACAAAAAAACAAAAACGAAAAACCACTGAAAAACCAAGAACACTTATGTTGGCTAAAAACGAATACACAAAAATAAGAGGTACAGCTAATAACAGCCCATCTATAAGCATCCAACGAAGTATTCTTTCAAAATTCAACAGCATGTCTAGTTGTTTTGCTCAGTCTTGACCGGTACCAACAATTGATAATACTTTTATTTCAAACCAGACAAATAAGCATTTAGATGTATCCAGTTATGAGGCTAAACACTTAAAAACATCACTAACAAAAATTTACCACCTATTTTATGAAATTCCACAAACATAACTCACAAATATGTGACAATAAAAAGCTTTAAGATACGGTGAACAAACTGTAACAAATGGATTGTTAAGACTACTTACCAAAGTCAAAATGGTCTTTTTGCCATCAGTTGCCCGAATAAGACATCTATATTCAATTTCTTCACCGGCCGTTGTCATCTTATTCCTCTTGACCTTAGACTTCATGGATGCTATAGACACAACACAAAAGCAAAAGTCAAAAAAGCCTTCTAAGTCCTGCAATGATAAAATAACAAAAAAAATGTCAAAGAAAAAAAAATTACAGCGCTTAAGAGTAACCCAAACAGAGCCTTTTTCTGTGCTATGCTCAAACATGCTAGTAAGCTCATTGAGAAATGGATCTGGCTGTAAAAGTACCTAAAGAAACAACAGAACACAACACGAAGTCGTTGATATCAAAAATCAATCTTAACCAAAACCACACTTGTTCAAGTGCAAGGCAACCATGAAACAGAACAAGGGGAAATCAATAACTAACTGTACAATAATGTAAATCCATTAAATTATGTATATAATTTCTCACAACATAGCTGAGATTTATTGATCTACTGAATCAAATTATACAGACAACTGACAAGTGACTTTAAACTAACCGTAAAAGTACAAAATGAAGATATTGGTATCGATGGGGGAAATCAAACAATTGTTTGTGCAGAGAAAAAAGCACTTCATCTTAAATAGAAACAATTGTTAAATCTTCCGCTATTGATGTGATTAAATAAGTCAAAAACATGCTGTTTCATTAAGCATTACATTTTAAGATGGACTGAGTTACTTCAAAGTGAGAGTGGAGCGGTTATCATCTAGAAAGCATGGGTGTGGGTGAGAAAAGACCTAAAAATAAGTATGATATGGGTACGATCAGACTAAGGTAAACATAATCCATTTTAAACAACAAGGCTTATGTCTCAACTACTTATGTCCCAACAAGACTTATTTTTAATGAAAATTCTTACACTAAGGCAGGACTATGGTGGTAAAGCTAATTTCAGATCTTTCTTTCCAAATAACTACCACATTTTTACTTTCATATTTAACTTAACATAAATAATAAAAATCAAAGAAAAAAAGAAAGAACCATGAGATTCCTCCAGCTATATAGTTGATTTTTCTCTAGAAAAATAATGCAAACAATATGCTGAAAATTGTGATGCTCAACCCAAACCAAGTTTTAGGGAAAGCACTTCAATATCGATTAAGACATAACTATAGAAGCTTACTCCTCAAGCCATTAAGCTTACATAAGTTGCAAAATCAATAACTACAATTGGGTCTTTCTTGAAATTGATATTTGTAAATATGTAAGTGATTACTGAACTCTGATAAATAAATTAGTAAAACGGGAAGCTTGGAAAGGGAAAGGGAAAGGAAAAGGAAAAGGAAAAATATATGTGAAATGTGAATAAAATATACTTACATTTCATCTAGTTTCACACATTTTTTCCCTTTCTTTTTCCAAACTCCCTAACCAAACACAGCATTAGTATTGTTCCAATTCCATGCTTCCAGTTTTACCAATTTATTTATTAGAGTTCAGTAATCACTTAGATATTTATGAACAAAAGTCTATGTTTCTATGTATATTGATACAGAAAGAACTTTACCATGGTTCAACCTCAGACAATTGAGTGTCCCCATGCTTCAGGTGCCTTTTCCAAATAAACTAAGCATTGAATTGAACTATACCAATAAGCATCAATATTGATTGGGAAATCACACAAATAGTCAACATATTAGCATTAAAATTATTCAGAAGCAATCCAGAAAAACCATATGTGGGATATCATCACCCCATGTGAGGGGTGAAGCCAACACACATGAGTTGGCCATGTTAGGAAGCCAACCTTTAGCCATGTGAAGAAGGAGTTGGCACAAGCTGGCCATGTGCTGGCCAGCCCCTCCATCCACCTCTTCTGAAGTGTATAAATGAAAATGGGTGTGAGGAGAACATGTAGAGAGAGTGAGAGCAGAGCAAGCCACAGAGAGTGAGATATGTGAGGCGGAGAGACCGTCTCCCTCGGTGTGAGCGAGGGAGACGGGTGAGTGGGTGAGTGAGGAGAGTGTGAGCTCCTTCTCTATTGTAATCTTTCTGTAATATCTCCATTGTTATAGTGATAACCGGCTACTCTCCCGTGGACGTAGGCATTGAGGCCGAACCACGTTAAATATTGTGTCTCCTTGAGTGTGGGTGTGTTTTTCTGCATGGAATAATTTCTATAAGGTCTTGCGCGGGATCCCAGATCCCAACAATTGGTATCAGAGCCTCGTTGGTGGCGTTTCGGAACAAAAACAGCGTGTTGTTTGAAACTGCCCGGAAATCAAGTTGCTCGAAATCAAGTTTTGAGTATGCCAGGAGCAAGGGCTCGAGAAGAGGAGTCCAACCATATAAAGCAGACACCCAGAGGAGTCCCCACGCGCCCTCACGCGCCTCCTGAAGAAGACGCGTGAGGCCCAGTCGCTGCACGCGCCACCACGCGCCGTGAAGAGAGTCGACGCGTCGGCCCAGTCTCACGCACGCGCCCCACGCGTGGCTGAAGGAAGAAGACGAGTGGGGGAAGGCGCGTGTAAGACACGCGCATGCCGCGTCAGCATGCCACGTCGTCAACACGTGGCGACACGTCAGCGAGAGTTGCCACGTGGTTGCCACATTATCAACCAGGTCACCGCCACGTGACCAGCCACGTCATCGACACGTGTCCATAGAGCATTGCCACGTCAGCACAGGTGTGCCACGTGTCTACCACGTCAGCAGTGGTGTTGACCAGTCAACCAGAGGCAGGGAAGGATCCAGTGCTACGCGGCAAGGGTGTAGCCGCAGGAAGAAGGATCCAGTGCTTCGCAGCTACGGTGCAGCCTCAAATCTGAGGCGTACAAAATGTTTTGGCTAGTTCTAAGCCATTTGGAGTCCGTTTTTGGTGATCCAATAATGATTTCCGATTATTTGGAGTATTCCGGACACATCCGTACGGTCAGATTCTGGAGACGGAGTTTCTGTAAAAAGAAGGCAGATTAAAGAGACGAACGGCATCAGGGGCAGTGGACGGAATATTCTGTTGGTACACGGAATATTCCCTAAACTTCTGAAAATTGCAATTTGGCCCAGAATTTTCAAAAAATTGTGGTGTGGCCCAGCTTTCGGGGATAGTTGTCAGTGAGGTCCCCGAAAATGCAGCAAAGATTGGTTCTAACTAAACGGACCGCTCCGGACGCAACCGCGAGGTCAGAATAGTGAAATTCTGAACGGTTTGGAAAGATTGTCAAAACATGGGTGTTTGCCATCTTCAATACTCGAAGGAAGGCTGCCGGATATTATGGAATGCTGCGGATTCACCGAAGAGGTTAGAATGGGCAGATTCTGACCAGATTGGACAACCAAATACAGATTGAGATAGATCATTGAAGACTAGAAGAGATCAGGCTTGATCAAATGGCAGATCGAGGGAGATCATGATTGGTCAGGGGCGATCAGAGGATTGCAGACATGATTATCTCAAAGGTCTAGGAAAGTTCTGTCAAAAAGACACTGTCTAAGGAGACTGGTTCTTAAGTGGGACCGGTTGTGACCCCACCAGTCTTTCCTGGGAACTTTCCTGGTTGTTGAGGTATTCGGCTAGCTCCTTCTACAACCTTGCCTTCTCCTCCATTACCCTAGCACGCTCGTCCTCTAGCTCCTTTTGCAGCCCAGCAATCTTCACGTCCGCTTCATCCTTCTCTTGTATCTGCTGGGCGCACATTTCTTCATTATTGATCATTGCCTCTTCAAACCGCTTGGTGGCAACCGTGCAGCCATTTTGAGCTTCCCCTAGCTTCTTCTTCTCGCCAGCCAGCTGGAACTCGAGCGACACTACCTTGCGGTGTTCGCCCTCTAGCTTCAACCCGACCGCCAGTAGCTCAACATGGGCACGATCGGCAACATTGCCCTGCACAATCGCCAATACTTTTCTGAAGTGCAGAAAGCAAAGGCTGGTTGTTCAGAAATAAGCTCCGAGCAAGGAAAATTGAGGATGTTGATGTGTCAAACTCTGAAGTTTTCTAGTTGCTCCCGTGTTCATCATGCAAGGAGTTGCACGGTAATGCAAGGGTATCCCGAGCAGGGGGTGCAGGACATCCAATCAGGGGGTGTCGGATATCTTGGTTGCGCAAGTTCAAGCAGTCTCAGTGAAGGCATCCGAGACAGGAAGCGTGGAAGAGATCTGTAGGAGATAGGAGCAGCGGTTCTCTCCAAATCAGAGAGTGGTGTGAGTTGAGTTGAGGATGTAGGATTCCCTCCTCCTCTTGTATCTCTGGTGTATTATCTCTAGCTTCAGGGGGTGCAAGCATCTCAGTGAGGAGATGCAGACTATGCTGAAGACATCCAAGACAGGAAGCGTGGAAGAGATCTGTAGGAGATAGGAGCAGCGGTTCTCTCCAAATCAGAGAGTGGTGTGAGTTGAGTTGAGGATGTAGGATTCCCTCCTCCTCTTGTATCTCTGGTGTATTATCTCTAGCTTTTAAGGGATGCAACGTCTTAGTGAGAAGATGCAAACTGTGTTTGGACGTGACAAGATTAGCAGCAATGTGTGTTGTAGATCACCTCACATGGGTTGAGGGGGTGATTTGTAGGATATCATCACCCCATGTGAGGGGTGAAGCCAACACACATGAGTTGGCCATGTTAGGAAGCCAACCTTTAGCCATGTGAAGAAGGAGTTGGCACAAGCTGGCCATGTGCTGGCCAGCCCCTCCATCCACCATTCTGAAGTGTATAAATGAAGATGGGTGAGAAGAGAACAGTGAGAGAGAGCAGAGCAAGCCACAGAGAGTGAGATATGTGAGGCGGAGAGACCGTCTCCCTCGGTGTGAGCGAGGGACACGGGTGAGTGGGTAAGTGAAGAGAGTGTGAGCTCCTCCTCTATTGTAATCTTTCTGTAATATCTCCATTGTTATAGTGATAACCGGCTACTCTCCCGTGGACGTAGGCATTGAGGCCGAACCACGTTAAATATTGTGTCTCCTTGAGTGTGGGTGTGTTTTTCTGCATGGAATAATTTCTATAAGGTCTTGGGCGGGATCCCAGATCCCAACACCATACTCATCAACAGAAAAAACGAGTATGGACAATTAAATCAAATCAGTGGCTTCCAACATCGAAACCAATAGAGATACACTATTCCGATGTGTGTCTTCATATACTAGATATATATAGATATAAACATACATACAGAGACAGAGACAGAGTGTGTGTATGTGTGTGTGTGTGTGTGTGTGTGTGTGTGTGTGTGTGTGTGTTGTGTTACTATGGCGAAGCTTCAGTTGGAGACTGCACCGCAGAGGCAAAACCATAGCGAAGCAGAGAGAGAGAGAGAGAGAGAGAGAGAGAGACGGGTGAGGTGAATTACAATATGGAAAATGCTTGAGATGAGATCAGAAGTTCTACCAAAATTATCAAATATTTCATATGTTCGTAGAATTTATACCATGTAAATTTCATATGTGATATTATAAAAGTTTTATGATGCTTTGATTGGGGGAGTTTGAAAAGAGATTTGAAAAAAAAATAAAAAATATATATGAAATGTGAATAAAGTATACTTATATCTCACTTAATTTTACATATCTTTCCCTTCTTCTTTTTCAAATTCCTCTTCAAATCCGCTAACCACACATAACGTTAAGATTCTGAACATTATTTTAATTTTTATTTTTTTTTCTCATTTTTTCTTCTTCCTCCGGTATAGTGTAAGAGTAATGGTTCCAAGAATTTAGGGTGTAAGAGTGATGGTTCCAAGAATTTAGAGTGTGTTTGGTTTGTTTTTGAGAGAGTGATTTTAAAAAAAAAATTAGGGAGAGAGTTTAGAAATTTTTTTAATTTGTTTGGTTGTATATTTTGAAAGTAGTTTTAGAGTTTAGGATGGTTTGATATTTTTGTTGTAATTAAATAAATGTGTTTGAGAAAGAAAAAGTGATTAAGTAGGTGTTTGGGAAATGAGTTTTTTCTGTAGGTTTTTTTAGTTGTAGAATATTATTGAAGAAAAAAAATTTTGCGTTTGAGAAGATAGTTGGGTTTTTTTGTGGTTGAATGTGATGTTTGTGAGAGAAAAAGTGAAATGATATGGGGTTTGATGTGATATTTTGTTTAGATTAATTTTTTTTGGTTTTGTAACCAATTTGTCTTTTAGTGGAAAAAAAAATAAAAAATAAAAACCACAAAACTTCCTTCCCAAACACCTCCAAAGAGTGGGAAAATGAGTTGGAACCCCAATGGGGTGACCCCAGCAACCCCCACTATTTTGTGATTGGATCAAATTTTTTTTTTTTTTGTTTTATTTGCAAGTCACAGGCCCCCACGTGGAGGTGGGGCTGCTGGGGTCACCCCCACTGGGGGTCCCCAGCAGGACTGCTAAGAGTAAGAGAAGAAAGAGAAAAAGTGATTGATTAATGTATAAGAGAGCAAAAGTGATTTTGAAAATTTTTTGAGAAAAATCACAAACTAAACAAAATTTTAGAAAAAAATTTCTAAAACAACTCTCCCAAAAACAAACCAAACAAGCCCTTAATTTTTTTAAAACTTAGGGTTTATTTGATTTGCATGTCAAGATATAATTTTTGAAATTTTTTTTTAAAATTTTGTTTGGTTCAAATTTTTTGAAAAAAATAATTCAAAATCACTTTCTTTCTTCTAGATATCAATCAATCACTTTTTATCTCTCCTTTCTCTTTCTCAATCATTTTTTCGCTCACATATATCAACTCAATTACAACAAAATATTAAATCATCCCAAACTCCAAAAACTATTTTCCAAATATACAATCAAACAAACGAAAAAAAATTCTAAACTCTCTCCTCAAATTTTTTTTTTTTTTTTGAAAATTTATCTCAAAACACAACCCAAACACACCCTTAGTTTTTTATTTTTTAGCTTTTAATAAATTTTTTAATATTTTAAATAAATTTTTTATTTTTAAAGTTTATCTAATTTAGATGCATCTAAAAAGTAAAATATTTGTAAATAAATATTTTAAAAAATTAATAACTAAACAAAAATACAAAAATAAAATGTACTAAATTTTCATATTTTTTTATATTTTTTATATTTAATGAATTTTTTTAATATTTTTTTATAAATATTATACTTTTTAATTATATTTATATTAAGTGTATCTACAAAATAAAAAATTACTTAAATTATTAAAAAAATTCATTAAAAATACAAAAAATATAAAATTAAATTTTTAAAAAATTGAATTCCAAAATTAGAACCAAACATTATAATTTAGCATTTGTTTGGCATAAGCTAAACGAGGGCTTTTTGGCTAAAATAGTCACAAAAAGATAAAATAGACTTTTTAGTTCAATAAGACAAAATATCACATCTAAACCATAATCATTTCATTTTTTCTCTTACAAAAGTCAAAAAAATCAAAAAATCTATCACAAATAAAACTTTTTAATTCCAAACTAAAATAATTAAAAAAAATTAAAAAACTAAAAAATCAACCCAAGTTACAAATGAATCCTAATTTTTCTCATTCTCATTGGGCCCTATGGGCTGGGAAATGGGCGTTGGGTCAAATTGAAGAAGCATATCTCCAACAAGTTGGGTCAAATCTAAAGTCCATCACGTCAATCTGTATTCGCTTAAATTTTGGCTTGTAAAAAATTATTTTTCTTAGGAATTATTAGGCAAATCAATCAACTCAAAGTCCACTCAACTCAAGGTTGAGTTTTTATTTGGGAAGAATTATTTTAACTTGACTTTTTAATTTTTTTATTTATTTTAATTTAACTAAAAAAGTTTCGTTTAAGATGAACTTTTAACTATTTTTATAATTTTATAAAAAATAAAGGTGAAATAATTATAATTTGAATGTAACATTTTATTTTATTAATTTTTTAATGTATTTTATCTTCTAATAAAATAAATTAATTCAAACCATTTTGCCAATGAAAGTCTGACTCATTTTAAACTCATCATGATCTACTTGTTATCAAACAAGTTAAATTATTTTAGTTCATAAAAATAAAAATTAAAAAAAAAAAAGGTAAATTATACTCATCTCCTCTAAAGTATTTAACAAATATAGGAACCTCCCATGTAGTTTGAATAATTACACAAATCTCTCATACTTTAACTGACATTGTCAAGATTATTCCATTCCTTCAGATTGGCACAAATGACATTACTTGCATATGGTAAATGACTTTATTATCTTTGCTTTTGAGCACAAAAAGACGATAATACTCTTTATAGTCTAAATCCCTAATTCACTCCCTATTCTGATTAACGATCGAATTTGTAAGAGAAGAGAGAGAGAGAGAGAGAGAAAGAGAGAGACGAAATCTTTGAAAAAGACCGATCAGTGAGAAGAAACGATGAAAAAGCTTAAGATTTTGGTTCAATCATTGTTGCCAGTGTGAAATGTGAAAGAGATTGATCGGTGAGAAGTTACTTTTAGGGCTTCCAGATAAGATTTCAAACCTTTTATACTTCGAATAGGGTTTACAATTATGTTTTTTCTTCTTCTTTTTATACAGAATTTCTAATTGTATGGGTTTGATTGATGAGATGTATATGAAAAGGGTTTCATACATTTAGGGCTTTTATGTTTTTTGCAAAATTTGTCACTAGAAAATAGGGATTTGATAAATATTGGTGTAATAATAATGTAATTTAGGGCTTTTGTTAGATTTAGGGCTTTTGTTGATTTTGTGTTAGAAATATTGATATAGGGTTTTTTTTTTTTTCTCTCTTCTTTTTCTTATGATTTTTGATTTTAGGGTTTTTTTTTTCTTCTTTTTATTATGAAATTATGATTGAATGGGTTTGGTTTATTTGCTAAATTTGGGGGGGTTTGTTAATTTTCTATAAGAACTAGTTTTGTTCTTATTTTTCTTAGAAATACTGATTTAGGGATTTTATTATTATTATTATTATTTTCCTTATGAAATTATGATTGTATCTCAAATTTTAGTTGTAAAATTTGAGATTTTGTTAATTTACTGTCAGAAATAATTTTCTTCATTATTTCTTAGAAATATTGATTTAGAGAAAAAAAAAATTAAATGCAATTATGATTACATAAGCTTTTATTTACGTTTGTTATGAATTTGGGGATTTATTCTTTTTTATTTATTTATTTATTTATTTATTCTACTTATGAATTTTTTTAGATTTTACCTGAAATTAGTTAAAATTTGTTACATTTAGATGAGTGATTGTTGAATGGAATTGTATTTTTGTAATTAATTGTTACTCATTATGATCACAGTATGGTTGCATTCCCTTATTTTAATTTAATCATCAACTATAAAGGCAAAGTGGGCAGAGTATATGATGTGAATCCAAATATATATTGCTATATTGATACCTTGAAGGATGTGACTACAATAGTCCTCTCTCACATTGATCGTAGTGAAGTAATAGTTATCACATTGCATTGTGATATGCCTAGTATTGAGCATAAGAGATTAATAGAAAATGATCTTGATGTGTTGGATATGTTTTATGTGCAAGGTAGGAGTAAAACAATTAACTTATATGTAGATATTGCATATTCTATGAAAATGAAAGATAGTGGAGATAAAAATGATATTGGAGATGGAAATGGTGGAGGTGATGGAGTATATACTTGTCATGACCCAAACCCACCTCTAAAAGTTTGGCATCATAACCGGCCAGTAATCCTTGGATTACCAAAGGCCTTCCCGTACAATAAAAATAATTGGGGCTTGTGGAAGCAAAAGACAAAAACACCAATAGTCCAATGAGCTGTGCATCTATATGAACAAATATTTACATGCAAAAACGTTAATTTACCCACTTACATTACATAACGTATAACCAAAATATCTTATACAAAATATATATACGGGTCAAAAGTGTACAACAAAATCAAAAGCTTGCTATCGGCCTTCCAAGCCTAGCCCCAGCTTGGAGGCACCCAAAACACTTGTTAGGCTTCAAATTAGTGGCTCGGTAAAAACCCTTCTACACTTACCCTCTAGAACGCTCACCTATAAATATATATAAAAACAGTGAGTTAAACCCTAGTAAATAATATTAAAGTAAAGGAGTTAGTGAACAAATTCCACATATAACATATCCGTAAACAAATCATGTCACAATCATACATATCAATCTCATATCAAAATATAACATAATGGTACATCTCACAGGACATAACACATATCGTTTTCCGACTAGAGTAATCGGTTCTGGATACCGATTAAACACATATCACCACAATAAAGTAGCTAACAAGATCTTGTATCACATGTATGTCATGAACCCGCACTAATGTGCCGTCCCCCATGACTTGGGACTATCAATGGATGCCATATTAAATTCGCAAATAGGATATTTGTTCACAT